TCCTCTCACTACCCACTCACTCCTCTGCCACCTCCCTAAGAGGCTGCCCTGACAGCTCTCTCAATGAGCCACACCCTCCTCTTTGGCATTGCCTAGTCACCTGTCCTGCACCATCTCTTTCTGTAGCATTTACCTCCATCTGACCCATTATGGTTCATGTTATCATATATGTAAAATATAGATTCTATTTTGTTTATTGGCTTCCCCCATTAGAACACTGAGCTCCAAGAGGCAAAGACTTGATCACCATTCTATCCTCAGTAGTTGAAACAGCACCTGGTATACAGAAGGTGCTCCACAAATATCTGCTGAATGGATGACTACAGATTAAATGCATGGCTGCTGGGTCACTATGGCTTCAGGGGCCTCCAGCCCCCTCATGGACCACTGCTCAGTGAACAAACCTTTGCTCCACTGGGAAGAAAATGCAGGCTGATGGCACTGCCATTACCATCAGCTACCACTTAATGATGGAACCAACCCTTTGCTAACCCCCTGGTACACATTATATCATTAACCCTGAAACAACCCAAGAGGCGGATGGATATCTTATGGTCCCAACTTTGGAAGGGACGACAGATTATATGTCTTGTCAAGGTCACAAAGAAGAATTTAGTAGGGTCAAGATTTGAACTGAGAACATTTGAATCTAGACTCCATGCTCTTAACCAATATGGCAAGAATCAGCTTCCCAGGGGAGAGACCTAGAGCCTGACTTTCACACTCAGTAGGTCACTAACTCATTTCAGAACCTCTGCAGTGTGGGGCTTGTTAGCCAGCACAGGAAGCAGTGCTGCAGCCTAGACATGGAGAGGGTATTAGAGGGAGGCCCAAAGTCTAAATGCCTCCCTCTCCTCCTCCCCCTTTCAAGGTGCCCAGATCCTGGTGGCCTGGAAGGATTCCCATGACAGGTTGCCTCATACTAATTGGTTTAGCAATCCGTGCTTATCTGGGCAAAGCTGGGGCCCATGAGTTCGAGATTAAGGAAAGCAAAATTCATGGTTTACTGCTCTGCTGCCCACAGGGTCAGAGGAGACAGGGTTAGGACTTTAATTGGCTTAACAGCTCTCAGTGGCTTAACAGCTCAGAGGGCTGATGGGGTAGGGAAGGAGGAAGACAACAGGCTAGTGTCCAGCCCACTGCCAGATTCCTACCCCACCAAAGGATCTGTTTGCTCTTCTCTCAGGGATCCAATCTGCCACTGAACTGGGACATTGCTCTGGGATTCTCCAACATAACAAGTGTGTGATGCCAGGGACAGAGCTGAGCTCAGAAACTGGACAAAATGAAGTAGGCACTGTGCCTCTCCCCACTTACTCAGTGGGTGACTTTGGACAAGTTACTTGACTTCTTTGAACCTCGCTTCCTTATCTGATAAATGGGTGTATCAATAGCCATCAGAAAGAAGATTTCAAGGTAAAGATGAGATTACAGGCCTGGAATACCTCACACAGTGCAGGCTGGGATACAGTAGGTGAGAACCCTCATTTGATGTTCGAATAACATCAGTGTGAAAGGACCTTATCAATTGTGAAGAGCTTGCTTGAAGTTACAAAGAAGACAGGCACAAATATGTTTCCGCTGGTTGATGCTATTTTTAAAAATCTTAATTATTAGTTGAAAATTGGGAGAGTTCACACAAAAACTTCAATTTCCCATTTCTCTTGAGAAATCAAAACTTGGCAAGACTTGGCAATCAAGAGTCCAGAGACCACAGCTTTGATTACAGACCAGAGTCAGAATTCTAGCCTATGTAATGTGTCCTCATGTGCATCTGTCACTTACAGTAGCCATCTCTATGAAGAATCTCCTAATTGATTGCAGAGAGAACAGTCAGCTGTCAGTAATTCAGAGAGATTTTCAGAGAGAACAGTCAGCTGTCAGTAATTCCTTCCAGTTCTCTGCAGAACCCAGACCCACTTCTCTCTTTAAGTTCTGTACAGAAAATGAATCACCCAGCAGGTTGCTAACTCATTTCAGAACCCTTCTGGAGTTCAGGGTTTGTTAGGTGGCACAGGGAGTGGTGCTGAAGCCTAGACATAGCAGGCATTTGAGGGGAACCCCCCAAATTACTTTGGAGACCTTACACTGTTCTGAGCAGCAGCAGCAGCCAAATGCTAGGCCTAGCCACTGTGCTAGGACATTAAGGAGTACCAGAAAGGCATGTTCTATCTCTTAAAGTCATCAAATCTAATAGTCGTATTCCATACACAGGGAAACTGTAGCCCAGAGATGGGAAGAGCCTGGCCCAAGGTTACTTTGAAGCCAAAATGAAGATGTAAGTCTCCCGAGGTCCTCCCCCACCTCCAATGTGGCACTTTCTCACAAGACACACTGTCTCCTCATCCTTACCTACATAGTTCCCCACCCTCTCCCTCTTTTCACACTCCATCTCAATGCAACAGAAGCCTGACTTTCTATCATCCAGGAATCTTAGAATCTCAGACTCATAATTCTCTGACCTTTGGGGAACACTTTAGTAGCAGAATTTCAAGGGTGGATAAATTGAACTTGGACTTTGAAGGAAAAGACTCGTGAGTCCCAGCTCTTCCAGTCTCTCACTGTGTGACCTTGACAAGGATGCCCCCTCTGTCAGCATCCATTCCCTCATCTGTCAAGTGAAAACGATAACACTAACCACACGACAAGATTATTAGCAGGGACGGAGGAGACAAAGTAAAAAGGCAGCCAGAACTGGTGGCCCACACTGTAATCCTAGCTACTCAGAAGGCAGAGATCAGGAGGATCCCAGTTCAAAGCCAGCCTGGGCAAATAGTTTGTGAGACCCTATCTCGAAAAAAAACCTTCACAGAAAAGGGCTGGAGGAGTAGCTCAAGGGCTAGGCCCTGAGTTCAAACTCCAGTACTGCCAAAAAAAAAAAAGGCAGCCAGTAGGCTTGGCATAGTGAGTGCTTAATAAAATAATTGTTCTAGAACCATAAATGAGGATGCTTGTGTCTAAGTGAGTGCCTAGAGAAATGGTCCTGATGTAATCAAAGGGAAGAGTAGGCTAGAACCACATGTGCTGTCTGCATTATTACAGGCCTGATACTGTTAGAGCCAATTTTTTTTTCTAGAGAAGCTAGGACTCTGGGTTTTAAAAATACTATACAACCTACACAAAACACTTCCATAAGCCAGATTCTACCCCATGACCATTAAATTGTTTGTTATCCCTGCAAAATCATCTCATCCCAACTCTCTCACTTTACAGATGGGGGAATGGTGGATAGTGATAGTAGAAATAGCTTTTTTTATATGCTGGGGTCTGACCTCAGGAAATAGCTTTCATCTAAGAAACCATGGAGCTCAGTGGACCCTCAGCCATTTCTATCCACTCCCCTCCATGTGGCCTTTTTTGCATTATTTGAGAGAAACTCAGTTTATGTTTTCTATTAGCTTCTCGTAAGTGGATTCTGAGTGGGCGAGGATAGCCTGTGAGTCGTGGGGCAGCTGGCCCACTTTAGGCTGAAGGGAAAGGGGAATGGAGCTTTGGCTACCAAGAATAGGAAGTTACCATTTCAGAATCTAAAAATAACTTTCACCATCTGTCCACTCGGGCACAGAATGATAAATGCAGATTAGTTCCTGGATGTAGAAATGAATATTTGTGTGTCAAGCTAATAATAATAACACCACCTTGTGTGGATAGCGCTCCACCCCCTTTTCCCCCAGGGCAAGATAACTGGAATATACAGATCATTTTGTCAGGCGTAGATGGGGAAAACAAGGCAGAGAGAAACAAGGCAGAGAGAAACTTGATAATACAGCAAGGGTGACACAGCAAGTAAACAGCTGGGACAGACCCTGGGAGTCCTGTTTCTAACCCTCAGGCCAGAATGGAGTCTTCTAAGTTAGACAGAATGGTTAACGAGTAGCAGAACAAATATTATAATGGCAATAATCACCCTTTATATCGCTAGAGTGGCTTTTTCAATGCTTCTCTGACATCTGCTATAATCACAATCCATTACATTCCCCAAATATATTCCAGTCTGCAGGGTCCTTACAAAGACCTTCTCTCACTTGACCATCCCAACAGGTAAGAAAAATATAATGGTAAGCCAGTGAGATGAGAAAAGTGGGGATTCTCTCCCACATTTCACAGGTGAGGAAACTGAGGCTTGGAGGGAGGAGGAGGTTTGCCTCAGAGCACACAGTAAATAAATTCATTCTATCACTGCACAGTAGAGCCCAAGGTACCAGAGCAATTCTCATTCAAGAGCAGCCCTAAATTTAGAATTCCCCCTCTCTCCAATTAACTCAGCCCAGCAGGCACCCTCAGTCCTGGCAGAGGAATAAGCCTGAAAGTGAGCAGCTTGAACAAAGCCTTGGTGTTGCCTACCATCCTAGGATTAAAGGGCAGCCAGTGGCCATCTATTGTCAGATTCAAGATTCCAAATCCTTTTGGCTCTTTTGGAGGGGGAGTGCGCTGAGGAAGTCCTTGAGGAAGTAGGAAGTGTCAGAGAGCTTCCTGGCTGGGTTCAGCACACCTTTTCCAAAAAGCCCAAGAAGTTTGGGCGGGATAGTCATTTAACTGCCTCAAATCCTGTCTCTCCTGGGAGGTTGAGCATGGGGCTACAGTTTTTAATTGAGCTTCTTTGAGAGCAAGGAAGAACTTCGGAGATCTTTCCTAAGTCCAGGCTCAGCACTGGCACAGAGAGGAGGGTCAGGGCTGCGAGGAGCCCTGTGACCCTGTTCCAAGACTTATACCCAACCTCATAAACCCCAGGCCCTTGTCACTCACACAGCCCTGAGGATCTCCTTCTCTCCCTTCTTGCCCCATTCCCTCTTCTCAAAATGGTCAACCCAGAGTGGATGGCTCTGGGGTTGGATAGGTTTTAGGGGTAGAGGTCAGGAGGAGCTGACAGAAGAAATCAGAGCTGCAGTGGGGTGGGGCGGGAGGGGTGCTTGTTAAAGTCAGAACAGGGTTGGGACACAGGTAGCCCCTCATCACCCCCTCTCCTAGGACTCGGCTCCCTCCACCTGCGCTGGTCCTACCTCCAGACCTGGCCGAGCTGCAGAAGGTGGACGAGGGTCTGCAGCAGCCAGACGCAGAGGCGACAGCAGCGGCGGCGGTAGGCGCTGGCCGAGGAGGGCGCAGGTCGGGGACCCAGCTCAGGGCTGCCTTCTTTGGTCCTGAGGACGCTGGCGCTGTCCTTGGTGCTGATGGCGGCTCCTCCGGTGCCGCTGTCCTTGGTGCTGACGGCGGGTCCCGGGGCCCCCGCGGGCTCAGAGTAGTCGTAGACGAACCAACGGAAGCTGAGCAGCTGCACGACCAACGAGGGCAGGAGCACGAAGAGCAGCGTGAGGCCAAAGTAGGTGCGCTGACCCTGCAGGTAATAGGAGGCCGCCAGCCACAGGTCCGTGGCGCCGTCGGAGAAGAACACGAGCAGCGCGCACAGCACCCAGCAGCAGTCCCGCAGCTCGTAGCGTGGCCCTGGGCCTCCCGCCCCGACCGCCCCGGGGCCCCCGGCCACCGCCGCCGCCTCCCCGCGCCCGCCGGCGCCGCACCGGGCTCCTCCGGCCGCCCCCTCCGGCCCGGGGCCGGCCGCGGCCGCCGCTCCATCCGACTTCGCGGCCATGTTGGCGGAGCAGGAGGCGGGGAGCGACTTCCGGGCGGCGGAGGGGGTGGGGTGCCGAGCGGGGAGGACCCTGTGCGGGCGGCTCCCTCCTCCTCCTCTTCCTCCAGCTCCTCTTCCTCCGCCTCCCCTCGGCTTCAATTATTCATCTGCTCGGCGCCGCCCCGCCCGGGCTGTGGCCGGATGGGGGCAGCCCTTCCCCCCACTCCCGCCCTCCTCCCCCGGGGACCAGGGCAGGGAGAGCATCCCAGGTCACCTCTCTCGCCTTCCCAGCCTCATGCTTTCTGCCTCTCTCTTCCCCCTGGACTCCACTTCCTTTATTATTATGATTATTATTATTATTGTCCCCCTCCCCACCCTCTCTTTTTCAATTTATCACCTGTGTTTACCTCCGGAGGCCTGAGTCTTGCAATGACCCAAGGGGGTGAGGAGGCCAGGGTCTTAGAATGAAAAGGTTGAAGGACCAGCTGTTGGGTGAACTCTCCCCACCCCACCCCCGCGCAATAACCCTTTAGTGATCATTAGATGTGAACACTGAACGCGCCACTTTCTAGTTTCCCCGAGTGTTCACTTATTGTTCCATCCCCTCCTTTGATCTTGAGAGGTCCCTTTTCTTATGGTCTTCCTTTCCAAGCTGAGAAAACTGCAGCTCTGAGTTGCTGTCTCTTCCTCACTGTCCTTTTCCCTCCCTCGGGAGTCCCTGGTCACAGCTTTAACAGAAACAGGAGAGGGAAGGGAGCAACATCCAGAGAAAAAGGACAAGAGGGAAGGAGTGGGGGAAGGTGCGCAAATGCAAAGTGCTGCTTCTCCCCCCCCCCCCCCCCCCCCCCGCATTAAAGGGCACGTTTTCTAGAAAGTCTGGATCACAGATCCAAGGGGTGGCAGAGATGGGAAAGATGGGAGCTAGAGAGTTCTGATGGGTGAGTTTCTGAAGGACCAGAAGGCAATGGGGGACCACTACAGGATCTGAGAAAGAAGACCCAGCTGCCAGAGTAGCAAAGTGACAGTAGTGATAGTAGAGAAGCAGCTTAGGATTGGGAAAGACCAGAGGGTGATTATAATAGTGACCATGAGAGGAGGTGGGGTCCCTCGAATGTCCTGCATACTCCTAGTTCATCCCCCACTTCCCCATCTCCACACTTTAGCTCAGATTGGATGTCCCAGGGCATTTAATATACAGTGTCTAATAGTTCCTCTTTGGCACAGTTCTAAGCCCTGTGGAATTACTAACTCATTTTCACAATTTGTGAAGTTTACATTTTTCTCACCCATTTTACAGATGAAGAAACTAAGTCAGAGAAGTTAATTTGTTTGTTCACAGTCACACAGTAAGTGCTACAGTTAAATTCAAGCCCATCTGGTTTCAAAATAGGCTTTGTTCATTTGTCAAGAAAATAAGGAAAGGAAGGAAAGGGGGAAGGAGGGGAGGAAGCAGGAGGGAAAGAAGGGAGGTTGAAGGACCACCCTGCCTCAGAGTGATAAGAAAGGAAGATGAAGGGAGACAGCTGTCCTGGGTTGGAAAGGAGAGGCCATCTGTGGTCCTGCAGCCTGGCATCCATTTTGTGTCCAGGGACTGTTTTGGTCTCAGTAATGCTTCGGAGGTTGGGGTAGCAGCTGTTGCCTAAAGCTGAAAGCAGAGGGGAAGAGTTAGGGATCAGAAGTTTTCCAGGCTGCATTCAAGACTGACAGCTCATGTTTAGATTAGCAGAGGCTGGAAGGTCTGAATTCCAGTATGACTTAGAGAAGGGCATCTCTGCCTTTTTGTTTCCTGCAACCCGAGGCAGGGAGGCTTGTGGAGGACAGAGTGCCCTAAGTGGTGAGCGGAGGGGGACAGCTCTGGCCCCCACTACCCTCATGGTACAGGGACAGTTCCTTTGTGTCTGCATCACTGCCTTCTCACAGGTGCTTGCACAGGGTCTGGCAGAATTAGGCTCCCACCTTTGGCTCCCCTTCACTCAAATGGAGGCAGACATTCTACAGCTCATGCCTCCCTATTTACCAGGATTGGCCTATTCAAACAAGCAACAGAAGTCAGATTTTAGGTATGATACTCTAGAGCCAAGACCTGGGTTTGAAATCCACCTATCTCTTCATGCCTCTATGACTTTGGGTAAATCATTCAATTTCTTTTGGCTTCAGAGAAAAGTAAAATGGGACATAATCAGTGCCTTCTTCCTAGGGCTATGAAAAAGATAATTAATAGGAATAACTGGGGTGAAGCCTCCCACAGGAAGTCCTCCTGGATCTCCCACCCAGCTGTGCCCTGCTCCTATCCAGCAAAGAAGTCTTCCCTGTTGGGAGCTCTGTAACACCCTAGTCTTTTCCTTCATCACACCAGCATGTTGGTAATTTTTTTTTTTAAATATTTGCCTAGTAGCTCCATGACGTTTAGGACAATTCATTTATTTTCTTCACTACAAAATCTCCTGGTGCCCAGTACTGTGTCTGGCATTTAATAGGTATTCTATGAAAATCATTGTATAAGTTAATAAATGAATGAGTGATCAACTCTGTGAACTAGGTCCCTTATTCTCCACATTTTCTTGAGGTAACTTACTCAGACAGGGGCATTGCCTTGTGGAATATTTAAGCCCCTCTGAGTGTCAGCAGCCACACTAAGAACTTTTGATATTACCACTTGTTATCCTCAAACCAGCCATTTTTCGGTGGAAACTGAACCCCAAGGACGTCTGTTGAAAGGCCATTTGCTAGGAAGTAGCAACATTGGCATTCAGGAGACTTTGCTAGAGTGACACAGAGGAAAGATTTTTTTTTTTTTAGAGGAAAGATTTGATGGGGAGTCTAAACATGGGTCAGGAATGGAGGTGACCCACCTGTCAGGGATTCTGTAGAGGACACTCTGCCCTGAAGGACTTTGGACTGGTGTGTTCTGAGAGCTCTGCAAGTTCAGAGATCCCTACAGGGATCAATGGGGGGTGAAAGGGGTTGGGTGGGAGGCGGTATTCCAGCGGTAGTGGGGAGGCAGCCGGGCATAGGCTCTGCAGTGGGGTGAGCCAGCCACATTCAAGGGCTAAGAAAGACTGTGACTGATGTGGAGGGAGAAGGTGGGCCACAACTGGTCAGAACTGGATAGGTTCTTGGAGGCCTCATCCAGTTCCCCAAGCCACTTTTGTTTCACAGAGAGAAGCCCCATAAGAGCAAGTAGCAGAGGCAAGTTCAGAGCCTTTCTGTATTCCCCAAGAGCATGGTCTCTGGGTTACATTAGAAATTGTTCTTAGGAATAGCCCTCATCACCTTTCCTTACTTGGCCTCTTTCCATGATCCTGCTGAGGGCTCAGTCCTTGCCTTCTGCATCCTCTGCTTGGACCAGTTCCTAATAATTTGTCTTTAGTTCCTATGAAAATATTTGCACCTGTGCAAACTATGCATGAGATCATTGATACTGCATTGTTTGTAACAGCAAGTATTGGGAATGACCCAAATCCCTGTTAGGAGCCTGGCTAAATCGTGACAATAGAAGGGCCTGGAGCAGTCAGCATTCTGTGTCCTAATAATGAAAGGATGTCACAGGGAAAAGCAAGGGCAGAACAGGGGTGAGGCTGAATGAAAAGGGGGGAATACCATCTTGGTTTATATGTCTTCCTATTTGCATAAAGAACTTGAAAAAGTTCAGATAAGAAAATAAGATATTACTGCATAGGACACTGGGCATTAGGAGATAGGAGGGAGATTTCATTATTTACCTATTGATAATGTTTTTTGCAATCATGTGAATATATTTGCCTATTAATAAAAAAAATGGGGACAGCTGTTACTCACCTTCTGCTGGATGGTGTTAACACATGAATGGGCAATGACTATGGTCAGATTTTCTAATTATTCAAGAGAAGTCACAAATCTCAATTTTATTGTAAAATGGTCTTGAATTTTAAACATTGACTTCAGTTTTTCTCAAATACTTTTCAGGCTGGTAAATAAGTCAGTGGGTCAGACGTGGCTTGTTGGCCACAGGTCTTCAGCCTCAGCCTTGACAGCTTCCTGCTCAAGTGCTAGAGTTCTCAGCACTCCTTTCCCCCTGGTCTCTGTCCTTGTATGGACAGCTGCGCAGTCAAAATGCATCTCTTCCTGTCCCTCTCTCGGCACCCTCCAACCTCTCCCTCTTGGGTCTGGGACATTTGAAGCTTTAAACTGAAGATCTGGAAGGCAGAGAGCGGTTATGAACTCTTGATAATTCTCCCCCCCCACCCCACCCCCGCGCCAGGGTACTGCAGGCATCAAGGCCCAGCTGCCTCCCGCTGCCCGCCCATCTGTCCCTGAGAGGTGGAGACAGGAGAGGGGCTGGCAGTGATGGGGATGGGCAGGAGTCCCCGATCAGAGTCTCAGACCTCTGGGCTCTGTTCAGACCCAGAATCCAAGAGGAGAAACCTAGAGACTGTGAGAAAAGAAACACAGCACCTGGCCACACCTACTTGCAGTGTGCTGAGGTTTCTCACCAAATTACCAAATTCCAAAGCTGAAAAGGCCCTTGAAGACCATCTTGTTCAATACTAACCTCTGCTCCCACATGCTTTCCCAGGGCAAGGCCTTGTCACTTTGTGCTTAGACTGCCACCTCACTGCTCTCTGCAGCCCCCCCCCATTTTTCTCCTAATGTCCAATGCCACCATCAGGGACATCTGACCAGGCCCCACTTCTGCTTACTTTCCTACCCCACTTTGAACCTATCTCTGCCCTGCCCACCTCTCCAGCCTCACCTCCTACCAGCTTTCCCTCGCTCACTCTGTTCCAGCCACACAGGAGCCTTGCTGTCCCTTCTTTTGAGTAGCCACACCCAGCCCTCCTTGCTGTTCCTTTAACAAGCCAACCTTCTTCCTTCTGCCAGGCCTTTGTTCCTGCTGCTCCCCCAGGTATTCACAAGCCTCCATTGTCTTCTCAAACCTAGTGCCTCTTCAGAGGGCTTTGTTTTGGGTTTTTTTGTGGAACTGAGATTTGAACTCAGGCCCTCCTGCTTCCTAGGCAGGCACTCTACCACTTAAGCCACACTCTCAGCCCTTTTTGCTTTAGTTATTTTTCAGGTAGGGTCTCACATTTTCCCCAGGATTTGCCCTGGGCCACAATTCTCCCACCCATACCTTCCAGTAGCTGGGATGACAGGTGTGTATCACTGTGGCCAGCTTTTGTTGGTTGAGATAGAGTCTCTAGACCTTTCTGACT